GTAATGGTGAAGGATAATTTATAGCAACATTTTTTGTTCTCATCATTTCAAGATGGAAAAAGAAAAATTGTTGAAAAAAGAAAATATTGAAAAGAAAAGAAGAAAAAAATTGAGTCTCAAAAAAATTTAGTTGATAGCATAAAGTCATTTAGTTGATGGATAATAATAAAGTTACCTGAGTTTCCACTCCCAGTTTCATTCCCTGTTATCTATTACTTTACCATTTTATTATTATTACATTTTTTGTTATTGTTTTTCTTGGACTTTTTTTTACTCTTCATTTGGTTTCATTTTTTAAATATAATGGTTTACATGAAAGCTGTTGAATTTGCTTGAGAAAAGTCAGAAGAGAAAGTGAAAAACGGAAAAAAGGATCAGAAAAAACTTGTATCAATGTTCATATTTCATATGAAGATATATTACATGATACAAGAAATGTTGTTGTCATCATCATCATGGTCAATTCCATTGCCTTTGTTGGGTCTTTACATCATTTTTTCTTCTCTTTCATCTTCATGTTCAACTTCGTTATTCCTTATCGATTAAGTCAATTGTGATCAATCTTTTTTTCCTTTTCTTCTCTTTATCCTGTTTCTGTGTTTCGCTTTCATCCTCATCATCTTTTGATAATTTTCATTATGCTTTTGAATCTTGGTCGACAATTTATATACTTTTTTTTATCAATTTACCTTTGAGAAAATCATTCTTCATTTTCTCTTCTTTTCATCTGTCATCGCCAAATGCTCTCGATTTTATCGTCATTTCTGTACTTTCTTCGTTTAGTTAAAGAGTTTACTTCCGTTTCTGTTGAGAAACTACCAGCACTTCCGATTGAGTAAGAAAGTGCAAATAAAATCAGATAAAAGTGACAGGTTGCTGTTCAAAATCAAAGATGGCAAAATATTGAAACGAAAAAATTCAATTTCGTTTTGTAATCGACAACTTTTTCTCAGCCTTCGAGATTTTTTTAATGATTAACCAAATTCTAAGCAAAAACAAAAAATGAACATATAAATTCGTATTTCATTTCAGTCACTAAAAATTCCATTGAGCAAGTCGAAGACAAACTCATCATTCTTCAGATCAAACTGCATTCTCGCAACCAAAGAAGCAATAATGTCATTGAAACAAGTTAGGATTGAAATCCCAAATAATTCTCAAGAATTTTAATTTACCGCAAACTTAGAGTTTTGCATTTTAGACAAACATGGAAAGATACAAATCATTGTATCAGTTACAGATAAGAGTCTCAGGTCCTCATTCAGCACATTCAGATCGAAAGCTAAGCACATCTAATACCATCGAAATAACAGCAACACCATGAAAGAAAACAGAATCGTGACAAGTTGTTTCCAGGAGAAATGATTAAATTAGCTCATTCTTTATCTTTAAATTCAGAGTCGAGAAGAAAATCCTAAAAATGAAATTTTTCAACTCGTCAACCAATTCCTCAAAAAATAGCGTCTGAAAGTGCGCCTTACAAAGCATTGCAATTTCCCTGTCAACCTTGGAATCCTGTGCAAATGCTTTTATCCCTAGTTTAACGAGTTTAATTACAACATGACTGGAAGATGTCAAATTATTTATTGCTACATAACGAGAAAAGTTTGTCAAACTTGAATGATTTCAATTTAATGATAGGACATGATTCATGAGAAACAAAGATGATCTCAAATAACTTATTAAAGGCTGTAAAATGTTGCCATCAATTAAAAGGCTTTCCAATCACTAATCAACACATGAAAAGACAAAATGCTAACCAAGATGATAATTATGTTTAATATTGGTTAATGTAAATTACTCAAACGAAGGTAATGCTTTAAACGTAAAAATAACCATTAACAATCTCATACTCCAAGAGTGATGATACCTTTTTGGCCTCTTTACTTTCACCCTTTTCTTTACTCAACAAATGAACTTTTTCACAGTTGACAACAAAGGTGATTTACTTTGCCTTTTTCTTGCATCATCATCTTCTTCTTCTTACCTCTTATCATCATTGCATCTTTTCGTTCCATTAACCATTCTCTCATCTTCATTGTCTTCCTTTTAATTGCATCTTTAATCAAGTTAATTGTTTCCATTGATTAAAATATCAACTCGACAAGCTTTCAAGACAAAAAAAACTTGTTCCTCTTCATTTTATTTGTATACAATTATCCAACAAGTTATCATCAATTCACCGAGAAATCTTTTTTTCTCTCTTCCTTCTCCTTCCATTATACTTCAACTTTTCAAAGGTTATCTTTCTAATCATTTTATTAAAGAAAGTAAGGCCAAAAAAAGGATCTGATGATGAACAAGATGTATTACTCAGAATGATTATGAGGGAAAAAAACTGTTATTCAGTATCTTTAAGTCACTTGAAGAGATCATTTTTCATTCGTTGAGCAAAATAAGTTGCTAACTTGCTCAGCATTTTTACCTTCTTAACCGATATTGTATCATGGTTTACCTTTTGCTCATTGATTCATTTTCTCATTTCTCTTCATTTCTCTTCCTCTACTTATCATCATCATTATCATCATAATCATTCTAATCTTTTTTTCCCTTCTTCTTATGCTTCTTATCAACGAACTTTTACTCGTTTGAAATTACCTTTTAAGCATTTTCTTTATTCGACTCTTGTTCTCATGTTTAGCTTGTCAAAGGTTGAACAGTTTTGTTATGAATATTGTGATAATCATGAAATCTGTTGAAATGTTGAGCTGTTGAAATTTACGTTAATCTTGATAATTTCATTCTTTATTCATTCCAGATTCAAGGTCAATATTGATTTCGTTACAACGTTTGTCCATTTGTTTGACATTCAAATTAATTTTTTTTCTTATTCTCTTGGAATAATTGTAGAAAGATGAAGATAAAAAGGACAGTTTGGATGGGGAAGATGAAGATGATGAGCAAGTCAAAGATGAAAAGTTAATTTATTTTTACAATTCTGGTGACAATCTTGAAAAAGGTTTGTATCAAAGAATCAAGACAATTAATTTCAACTCAATAAACATTGAAAGCAACTTCACAACATTTCAGTCAAAGTCAAGAAACATTGTTGAGAAAGCAAACGTTAAAAAGTTTCTTAACTTCGAAGCAAAATTCAAGTCACTTCCAATAGTTTTACTGTTTTTTGATGCAAATATGTATTCAGTTCAGAACATGTTTTAGGGGCGATCATTCCTTGCTTTGTTCTGATCATGATATTCAGGTTGTCTGATTGATAAACCTTGACATGTTTTAATCGACAAAAGATGCTTTTTGATTGAAAGTTAATTCGATGAAAGTCAGCCAATGTTTTGTTTAACCCAAAATAATAATCTCTCATTGGAAAGGTAAGAGCTTAATGAAAGGTTAAAAGGTGAAAAAGATCAAGAAATGGACAGAAAGTAGGTTCATCAGATAACAATAATACGATTATATTATAATCAAGACTGTTTTCATGTTTAGTTGATCAACTTTAATCCTTGAGATTATTCAATGAAAAGCTCAATAAAAAGGGTAAAAACAAATGTACTTAAGTTTTCTGGTTAACCAACGATAACAAATTGAATAATTGTAATCTTTTTGTTGAAAGCAACTAACTCAGGTGAAAATAAGATTCCAAGGGAAACAAACAAGATAACGATTTATGAAATTAGAGTCAGAAATTGAATAGTTTTAGACGAGTTAATCAGATAATCAGATAATATTGTTGCTAGAAAACGACAGAAAACTAAATTTTCAACTTTCAACATTTTGCTTCTAAAAACTCATAACTTTAATAGCGACCAAAAGGCTGTTAAAGTGACCACAATTTTTCAGTCCATCTTGACCAAGTCATTTATTTCACTTTAACTAGACTTTAGCAATAGAAAAGAAAAGCAAAGGAAA